CATAATTAAAATACCAGAATATTGAGTTTTGCGACCTGTCAACCGGTCATAAATGCTGACATTTCTTGTCAATCGCAGAAAAATTATATTAAATTACTGAAGTGCTCCTTTTTCGTTTTGATCATTGTAGTTTATTGGATTTTAAAAATGAGCGGAATTCGTCGGTTTTTTTTATTCGCAAAATAATCTATTTGGTACATCTTCATAAAACTGGTCATCTTCGCACATTTTTGGATACAAATTCGTTCTCAATTCAAACAAAAGATACGTTAGTTAGTCTGTTTTGTGGGACATGGTACTTCGAGAGTAAGTTTTAATTCGTTTTAACGCTAAAAAATTCATTTTGACGAAAAATAAAAAATACATAGGTATATAAAATCCAAGAAAGATACACAATTGCACAATAATTTAAAATGCACCTGACGACAAAAAATATCAATCAACAATCTACGACTTCCGAATAGAAAAGTGACATGGAACTCCGAATGCATAAAAAAGAGATAAAAAAGCAACGATGGCAGTTTCCAACCTTGCAATCAAAGTTTGCGGCTAGCCGCTCCGCAACCCGATGGTGCCTGAACGCCAGACTGGCGGCTAGACATAGGATCGCGATCCAATGTTGCCAAATCCTCCTTTTATAAAGCGCCAAATTTCAAATAGATTTATATTGCGGATAATGTTACAATATTAATTAAAGGTTAATTTCTGTTATACAACAAATAAAGTCTCGCATGATTAGTAGGTAATAAATTAATCCTATTATAGATATTTATGTTATAAGGATCATAATCACGATCATTATGGTATTAGCCGTGAATATTATCAGACGAGGCGTCAGCCGAGTCTGATGATAACACGGCGTGTGCCATAATGATTGTTTATGATCCAAATTTCATACAATATTTTATATTCCAGAAATTGTAAATAATTTTAATCGTTAAATGTTGTCTTCAATAAATTTTTCATATTTTTGCCTATTAAACCTACCTATATTTTTTTCTCATTATAGTACTTATAATGGGATCTCATTATACTACTTAGTACTCTAATGAAATCGCATTAAATTAAAGTACTCAATCCAATAAATTATGTCATTTTGACACTACAAATGAGATCCATAATAATGTCATTTTATTATTATTATCATTAAAGTCCATGAACTTCACGTCGATGTCGATTATAATTACTTTGAGTCGAAAATACTTTTTCCTACGAGCGTGCGCAAAGTAGTACTTTTCCGCACGCATTTCGGTTCTCAAAGTTGCACTTTTCCGCACTCAGTGCGGATACGGGCCTTATCCGCACTGAGTGCCGAAAAGTAAAAATAATTGTCAAGCACCTGTCGACTTTGACACATGATGACAAATTTTTCCTCTGTTTCTATAGGTATCAGCCAACATCTATACAAACACTGAATATAATAAGCTTTGACACATTGTCAGATTTGTGTTCTCAATTTACATGTAAGAATCTACAAACTTCTTTCGCATCAAATTTAAACGCTTTAAGATGAACAGCTCTGACGAGGATTTCAATTTCCTGTTTTTTTGTTATGTAATTTTTTGATAAATGAATAGTTTCGCTTCAGGTTAATTGAAAATAATTGAACAAATTATCGTTTTTTTTTTAAATTTTTGTTGTTACCTACCTGATATGAGGCTCGTAGGAAAAATTTTGTTCCTAACACGTGCGCAAAGTTTCTTTTCCGCACGCAAACACTCATCCGAACTCCGCTGCGCGTCGTTCGTATAACTGTGTTTGCGTGCGGAAAAGTAACACTTTGCGCACTTGTTAGGAAAATAACTATATCGCATTCAAAGCAAAACACACCCATTTTGAAATAGTATTCATTCGCATTCGTGCTCTCAAAAAAAATTAGAAACAAATCGTACACAAATAAAAAATACAAGCAATAAGCGAGCTACTGAATACCTACAATATACAATACTATAGCCACCTATAGCTTTGTTTGTTTATTTGCACCAAAGAGATCAATGAAGAAGACTGACAGAGACAGCCAAACTTGGCTCAATGGGATGGGCGAGCACGCGCATAGCATCGAAATCAATTTGGCAACGTTGGATCGCAGTCCTATGTTTAGCCGCCAGTGAACGCCAGGAATGGTTCGACATGTTTCCGGCATTTCTATTGGTCGCTGAGATTCGCGGTCCATTTGAATGCTAGATTTCAGGGAAGCATATGAGAGTCAAGCCTCCGGTCGACTGCTAATGGTAAAATTGCGGGCAAGGAACAGATTTTTGTCATGGAGGCGCGGAATTGTTTGAAATAATGTTGTCAGATTGTTCCAAATTATATTAAAATATCGAAATTTGGAAAGTGTAATTTGTGAATTATAATATTAAATAGGAATTAGGAATAAAATATAGATTTAATTTTCATTTTTTTTTTGGGTAGGCTTAGCCTCCCCTGCCTCCTCTGACGAGCCGCCACTGACTGTCCCAGTGCTCACTCAATTACAGGGTGTCCTAGGAAAAACAGTTCACCCCGATTTATTGGTTTTGGGATGAGAATCTGCAAAAACGCTCGGACACGTCGATGTTTGATTTGAGGAGGAACTATTTTTCAGTTTGTTTCATCCCCCTAGCTTCAACTTCCTAGCAAGGGGGAGAACAACCCCCAAAATTTGAATAGGGGATAGGGGTCGTGTCATACCTCTTTTTGAAGGTCTCATCGAGTTCTTTATGGCCCTAGAATTTCATGACAGCTTGTCAAAATATTGGAAATAGACTATTGTTTTAGTAGGAGTAAAAGCGGTACTCACCTCTCTCAATAAAAATACGAGTAAAAATACCTACAATTTACAATCCTCGTGTATAGTTTGGCAAGTGGTAACTTGGTAGAGACGAAAGGGGGAAGAAAAGTGGGGCGTAACCTAAGAATATTCACTGACACCTCAACTGACACCGCCTCATGACAACCATGTCTTTGGGTTCAGTGGCACCAAAAACACCAAGGAAATAAACCAAAAAATTATTAGGAAAAAAATGCTTGAGTTTCACGAATAACCACGCCACTGGTGCTGTCGTTCAGGCTCTAACCAATAGAATCATGTCTCTGAATAATCACGCCTCTCCGCTTCCTTCATTTCGTAATGTTGCCGGATTTTTTCCTATTTCAAAATACTGCACGGTCCATATTGCAAAAAAAAAATATGTCACCAAGTTATTTATTATTGTATCTGTCAAGTTTGGCATAGCAGCAAATTCTTTTTGAGTTCCCCGTTTGGCTAGCCAGACTATACACCTCATTAATAATCATAATAAAAAACTTCAATTTCAAGTATTTTTATTAAGGGAGGTAAGTATTGCTTCTACTCCCACTAAAACAATGGTCTATTTCCAAGATTTTGACAAGCTGTCATTTCGTTACGGATGAAAATAATGAGATGAAATTCTAGGGCCATAAAGAACTCCATAAGACCTTCAAAAAGAGATATGACACGACCCCTATCCCCTATTCAAATTAAGGGGGTTGTTCTTCCCCTAGCTAGGGGGTTGAAGCTACAGGGGTGAAAAAAACTGAAAAATAGTTCTCCCTCAAATCAAAAATCGACGTGTCCGAGCGTTTTTTCAGATTCTCATCCCAAATCCAATAAATCGGGGTGGACTGTTTTCCCTGGGACACCCTGTATATATGTATTGAAGAGCTGTCCCAAAGTGTATAAATATGTTTTTTCCTACGAGCGTGCGGACAGAGTAATTTTTCCATTTCCACACTAGTGTAAATAAAGGATTTTTCTGCTCGCTCGTAGGTTCCTACACTTGTGGAAAATAATTATTTCAGTGCTTGACCAAAGAGGATTCTTTCTAATCCAATGTAATTAAATTAGTTCAATATATTTTAGTTATAGTAAGTACTTAAATAGATATATTTGGATTATTCTAATATGTACTTGGACGATGTGCTAAAAATTATTATTTTGCATTTTATACTAAAATAATATCTTAGGCACAATCAATTATCAAATAAGGATGCTTATAGTATTTGGGTTTTTCACTTGCAGACCTGCTATCTCAGCAGTAGTAAGGATAACGTTTTAATTTTTTTTTTGTTGAGAACTAGAACGCTCACCCACCAGCACAGACTGATAAGAGAAAATAATCCGGGGTCGTGAACTTGATAGCGCCAGAATCTGTATATAAACCCCAGGAAGCCAACAAAAGAAACCTGTTTATTAGTTGAATGTGCCAAACTCAGAATGGACACGGAAGCTAAAAATTTTGTCGAAGATTTTCTATATGTAGAATATATTCTATTGTTAAAAGGTAGTGCTCTATAATGACGGTAATTTGTTGAGTTTTGACTATGTATGTTCGTGTCGGTTTTGTTTTATTTAACTTGGAAATGGTAGGTTCTGCGACAATATAGTTTTTCGAGATAAAAACCGTTTTGTTGGTGAGACTTTTCCATGCTACTTTATTTCTCATTGATATTTAATTTGTATTATTTGATTCCACTTTTGATGTGTTGTATAAGTGTTTCTTGGAGTCACTTTCATGCCAATATATCTCCCATTTACCTGTATCTCATTTTCATTATTTGATTTAAGTTTTTATTTTTGCTGCGTGGGCGTATGTATTCTCTTTAATGTTTTATAGCTTGTGCTTTTTTGTTTGATAAATATTTGCTTTGCACTGTTGTTTTGAATGTTGTGCATTTTTGTGCCTAAATTTTGACCTTTTATTATTCGACTTGATATTTTCGCTCTGTTATAATTTTTTACTGCTACTTTTTTCGGTCTGTTTGGTCCTTATGTTATGTTGATAAATTGCATTGCCCCTCAAATTCAACAAACATTTTGGATAATGTGCTATATTCTTAGTATATGTTATACATAATATTATATTATATGTATTACATATTTACTTATTTGTATTAGTCCAGAAATTTATTCACAAATCGAAGCATTTATTAAATTATACATAATTTATTGGCCTATTTATTGAACTCAGTTAATTCTTAGTTTTTATTGTTTATAGGTTGGACAGAATGGGAAGGAATACTAAAAAGGTTTGTGCCTATAGGAGTATGTCTCCTAGCAGTGATGCAATGGCGTGCTTACCGTCGCAAAACAAAAGAGGGCACTGTGGCGAAACAGTGGGAGGTTAATTGCTATTGCTTCTTACCTTTAAGGACCCTAAGCCGATGTTGGGGATATGTAGCTGGTAAGTTGAGTGAAAATTAGCCTGCAAAGGGAATCTTGATTGGAACTGTTTTCTCATACTTTGAGCAGGTTAAAAATTCTTATATTTATTAGGTACCTGTAATAAATCAACAGGCCTATACCTTTTTAATGAAGCCTAGGTTTTCATCTACTTTAGCAACTTAGGGGCTATATGTATCGACAGGGGCATCACATTGAATATGCCTGTGAATGTGATTGCGAATTCACATCTAAAATCGTATTTTCGCGCAATTTCAATTTTAATAAATTGATGCCCCTCCAGATAAAACCAGTGAGTGAAAACATTTTAAATAATTAGTAAATAGCTCTTTTATTAGACACATTTATTATACATAAAAATTGTCGTTGTTCTAAAGGTATTACTGGGCTTTTGCTGCTGGACAACAAGGTATTGAGCAAATGGCTGCTTCTTGAACGTCGCCTTTACCACCTTTGTTTTGCCTGGACTCATCTTTAGATTTATTTTTTTTAAGTTCTTTATGTAGTACATCTTGTGCATATCCTTTTTCTTTAGGGCAAACCGGTTTATACTTAAGTTTGCTATAGTCCACTGAATGTTCTTGGATTCCATCTTTTTTAATATGATATTCTGCATTAGTAAGTTCATTCTTATTAGGTTTTTTATAAGTCATCATTCTCTGTACAAACCTTCTCTTTATTTTACTTTCCTCTTTGATTATCTGTTCTCTGCTGTAAGTCTCTGTTTCATAACGCTTTCTTTCGTCGAACCAAATCCTCATGTATTCATTGGACATTATAAATTTCATATTTTCCCTTTTCTCCACAAGGTAGGAAGGCTTAAATCCACTATTGCCAGATTCTCGAGCTTTTGAAGAAATTATATTGTCAGGTCTTTTTTGGGGTTTTGCTGGACTCCATTTGATTGATTTGTGCATGGTGTAGAAAAATGTGAAAAACTGACAATTTGTCCAGGAGTTTGACAGCAAACTGGTTCAATTGACAATAATATACAAGGTGATTTGTTTTATTTTCAGATACAAAACTGCCAGAATTTGCCAGACCAACAGTGTACGGAACGTACGCGAAAACTTTTGGTGTCAATATTGCTGAAGCTCAATATGAAGATTTGAAGCACTATCCTAGCTTAGCAGATTTTTTCACTAGACCTTTAAAAGAAGGTGTCAGGAAGATAGATCAACAGAGCTGCCTTATTTCACCTTGTGATGGAACAGTACTAAGCGTGGGAACTGTTACTAATGGACAGGTTGAACAAGTAAGTAGGCTTAGAATAGTGAGAAATGAAAAAAAAAACCTTACATTATTTTTTTTAAATTATTCTTCTTTCCAGGTCAAAGGTGTGACCTACTATGTCAAAGATTTCTTGGGAGAGAAAATAGATGAACAAAATATCAACAATAACTTATCGAAGGAAATCCATGAACATTTGCTGCATAAACCCCATGAAGGCAACACATTGTATCAATGTGTCATCTATTTAGCACCTGGTGATTATCACAGGTATGTATTTTTTCAAATTCATTTCTCATGAGTGAGCTTAACAGTTTCTTAGTGTTTTTTGGTCATTTAGCTTGTGGTAAGTAGGGCAGCATTTAATAGGCAGTTGTTTTATTCGGCTATTCTTAAAAAAAATGCTTTTTAAGTAGTTGTTATTGTTACCTACCCTTTCAAGAATAAAACAACACTGAAAATTAATTTTCTTTCTGTATGGCTCTAAGTTGAATGGCATGCATATGGTCGATTCAGACCGTCAAGGTAACATTTGCCGATTTCAGATGTGTCCCAATCATTGCCTCTGCAGAGCTTTTGTGCTTTCCTTTAAGCTAGTGTGCAGCCCACGCTCAGGTGGACAAACAACCACAAGAAAACCGTTTCTTCCTGCACGGTCAAGAGCCGATTAGGCCACAAATAGGTTATTTTTCTATCATTTATATTGTTTAGTTATTGAAGAAGGTAGAACTAATCGGTTATTGTTTTTAGATTTCACTCGCCTGCCAAATGGAGTCCAACACACCGAAGACACTTTTCTGGGGAGTTACTTTCGGTAAACCCCCGGATCGCCCATTGGTTGCCAGGATTGTTTGTTTTGAATGAGAGAGCAGTCTACTTGGGCGAATGGGAACATGGTTTCTTTTCTTACAGTGCAGTTGGTAAGTACCAAGTAAATCTCCTATTTTTTGCAATATATTTATGAATATATCTACCGCCCCTTCCCATTTGTTCCTGAATGTAATTCTTGCTTCCCTCCACATCTCTTCTTTTTCTTGTAGTATTTATTCAGCTATAACATTATTCAACTTCCTCATTTTCTATTTCCTATCTTTACTACTTGTCTTGTACTGTCTACTTGTCTCATATTTGCTTGTGCTAACTAATCTTCATTCTAAACAAGATCAAAAAAATAGTTATTTTCTCCAAACGTCAAAAAAACGTCACTTTGTTAACCCCTGTCAAGATGTCAGAAATTTAATTTCTATGCTGGTAGGCAAATACAGCAGGTTAACACCTGTCGAGGTGGTAGAAATTCAATTTTTCTCCGAATGACTGTAAAAGCGGCTTTTTAATGACACTTGACAGGATCAAAAGTTGTATTTTTACTGCCTAGGCAGTAAAAGTGGACTTTTACTGCCTAGGCATTAAAAGTGACAGTGTCACAACGTTCTAGGTAATAATTTCACTCAATTTGGTATTTGAAATTGATGGTGACAATGACAATTGTCAAAATAATTTAATTATTTGGATAATAATAATGAATGAAATAAATATAAAAAAGATGTCCATGGGTGAATTTGAACATTCGGAGAGAAAATTATATGTTTTACATGGCAGAAAAGCAGATTTAATGCCTCGGCTGGTTTCCTAGCCTCGGCTATGCCTCGGCTATGAAACACCAGCCGCGGCATTAAATCTTGTACTTTTCTGCCTAGTAAAACAAATAACTATTCTATGCTGCTTGGCAACCCCAGCGGCAGCAAAAGTACTTTTAGTGCCGCTCGTACTTTTACTGCCGCTCAACCATTCACTTGCCCCTGAGCTTACCCCATTCGTTTGGAGAAAAAATAGTGTGTTGCATACGGAGTAGAAGCACTTTTTTGTGCTTCAGCAGTATTGCAAGCCTCACTACGTTCGGCTCGCTTCAGCACAAAAAAGTAAAGCTTCTACTCCTAATACAACAATATACTATTTGTTTTACTAGGCAGGCCGCGGCTGGTGTTTCATAGCCGAGGCTAGGAAACCAGCGGAGGCATTAAATCTGCTTTTCTGCCATGTAAAACATATAATTTTTTCTCCGAATATTCAAGTTCACACGTCGACATCTTTTTTATATTTATTCCATTCAGTATTATTATCCAAATAATTAAATTATTTTGACAATTGTCATTGTCACCAGCAATTTCAAATACGAAATTGAGTGAAATTATTACCTGGAACGTTGTGACACTGTCACTTTCAATGCCTAGGCAGTAAAAGTCCACTTTTACTGCCTAGGCAGTAAAAATACAACTTTTGATCCTGTCAAATGTCATTAAAAGGCCGCTTTTACTGTCATTCGGAGGATAAAAAAATTGACAACTAGTTGTTTCTTATACAGATATCTAGAAATCGTGTCTTATTATTATTTATGCCTTCTCCATACATTTCAAGTGACATTTTTTAAAATACACACATCAGAATGGCCTAGGGAAGAAAATAATATCTATACTTATCAGACATTTTTTGCTTATTTCATTTATAACATATTTGAACTAATTTTGCAAAAAAAAAGTGGTTACTGCAATTGATTGCACCAGTTGCAACTCCAGTTATCACCCCCGCTGTGGAATTCAGGCGGGAGCAGTTAATATTGAGAATAAAGCGATTTGTTGTAATCCTTGTGATCCAAGTGAGGTTAAGTCAACTGAAATAAATGAAAAACAAATGAAAAATCTATTGGAAAGTATGTTTGAACAACATTTTAAGCCAATTAAGAAGACCCTGGAAAAGGAAATGACCGAATTGACAAAATCGATGCAATTCATGTCAAATAGCTTTGAGGAACAGAAGGACAAATTCCAGGACATGATGGAAGAAATTAAACAGCTGAAAAAAGAAAACCAAACACTGAAACAGAAACTTGAAAATGTGGAAGAGAGACTGAACTTCATTGAACAACGGGATAAGGAAAAAAACCTGTTGGTCGCAGGCATACCACGACAGGAGCAAGAAGTAGTTGTGAACGTCATGAAAAAGGTGTTCACTGCAATGCAGATGAATATAAGTGAAGGGGATGTGCAAGAGCAATTTAGAATAAATAATAATAAGGAGGCACCTATAATGCTTAAGCTAAAAAGCAACGAAATAAAGGCAGCTATATTGAGTAAAATAAAACAACTCAAAGGAATCAAGCTAAGTGAATGTGGACTAGCCGGAGGAACAAAAAACATCTTCTTCAATGAAGATTTAACTAAACACCACCAACTACTTTTTAAGAGAGCGAGAGAATTAAAGAAACAAAAAAATTTCAAGGCAGTATTTGTGGCTAATGGGAAAATTTACCTAAAAAAAGGTGAAGATGACAAACCGGCAAGGATTAGGAATGAGATGGATCTGATTGATCTCATATAAAAAACAATGAGAGGAAAAAATTTGAAAACTGTGATATGTTTAACATTGTAGATAATCTAAATATACTATACATCAATATAAGAAGCTTGAGAAATAAAATGAATGATCTAAACAATATATTACTTGCAAGCAACAAAAACATACATATAATAGTGTTAAGTGAAACATGGATATATACAAATGAAAAAGATTACTTTAGTATCCCTACATATTCAGCTATTCATGACTGCCGTGATACCAGGGGAGGAGGCACAGCTATTTATATAAAAAAATGGATTAAATTATGTTATAAATAATAAATTTATTATTTCAACTAATGACTGTAACATGGTGTCAGTATATTTAACACAACAAAAGCTGACAATTTTTGCAGTATATAGATCCCCAAAAAATAAATGTACTAAGTATATGCCAGAAATGGATAGACTGTTAGAAAACCAAAAAACAGCGTGCATCATCATTGGTGACCTGAACCTTGATCTCTTGAAAAACTCCACATCAATAAATGAATACAAAAATATGATTGAAATAAATGGATTCCGGCTGCAGAACACACTAAATTATCAAAATGCAACACGTACAACACAAAATACAGCTTCATTATTGGATCACATTATAACAAATAAAAACATACAATGTAAAATAAGACTGCAAGATCATGATATTTCTGACCATAAAATTATACTCGCCGAAGTTAAAAAAGTAGTGCATCAAAATAGTAAACAAAAAATAAAAAAAATTATTCTTGACATAAATGCATGGAAACAGAAAGTAGAAGAAGAAATAAATGAAATAGAAAACTTCACATTCAAAACACTGATTGAGATGATTAATAAAACAAAAAAAAATTGTACGAGAGAAAAAACAATTAAAATTAGAAACAATAGTCATTGGGTTACCAATGACTATTTAACAAAACTTAAAGAACGAGACAAACTGTATGTGCGATGGAAGAGAGTACAAAATGAGTTCACAGAAAATCTATATAAAAAGTCGAAAAATAGCTTGAATAAACTGAGGATAAGGCTGCAAAAACAATATTCGGAGAAGAAAATACAAGAGGCTCAAGGAGATGGTAGAAAAACATGGGCGATCATCAATGATTTATGTAGTAGAAGCAAAAAAACAAAAAAACAAGTAAATAAAATAACAAAGGCAAATGGAGAAATACTCACAGAGAATGTAGATATTGCAGCTGCAATGAATGGACATTTCTCAAGTATAGGAGAAACTCTAGCTTCAAAAATAAACCTGACACAAGGACTTATGTTTGCTGAAGAGGAAGAATGTAAAACCATGACACTACAAAAAACGAATCTAGAAGAAATCAGAAAAATAATGTGTGAAATCAAAAACCATAGTGCTCCAGGTGTAGACGGTATAACAAAAAAAGACATCGAAACTCTTTTTGATGTTATCGCACCAACGATTGTAAAAATAGTTAATGAAGTACTAGATACTGGCCAATACCCTGAGGAACTTAAGACAGGAAAAATAATACCGGTCTACAAAAAAGGCGCCCACGATGATGTTAATAATTACCGTCCAATTTCACTGCTGAGTTCTTTTAGTAAAATACTGGAAAAAGTAATTAAAAAGAGATTAATAAAATTTATTGACTCAAACTTCAAGTTCGATGAACATCAATTTGGCTTCCAAAATCATAGCAGCACAATTGGAGCAACTGTAGACCTTCTAGAGTATGTGACAAGCGAATTGGATGAGAACAAATATGTAATCTGTGTTTTTGTTGACTTGCAAAAGGCATTTGACACAGTAGATATTGATTTAATGCTGAAAAAAATCAAAAAAATGGGTTTACGAGGCAAATGTCAAAATTTGCTAAGAACTTATTCTTGTGGAAGAAAACAGTGTACCGAAGTTAATGGAAAAATAAGTGAGGAAGCAAATGTAGGTGTCGGCATTGCTCAGGGTTCTGTACTTGGTCCTGTAGAATATCTTTTCTATGTACATAACTTGAAGTATGCAGGACTTGCAGCAAAATATGCCAAGTTCTGTGATGACACAGTGCTCATGTTCTCTGGAACGAGTGAAGAAGAGCTTGAGGAAATAGTAAACCGTGATCTTGATAGATATTTTAGCTGGTTGTGCTATAATAAACTTAGCATAAATGTCGAAAAAACCGTATACATGCTATTGAGTCAAAGTAACAAAAAACAAATAAATCCAGAAATACAATTGAATAATAAAGTATTGAAAAGAGTTAAGGAGTACAGATATTTGGGATTAATAATAAACGAAAATCTTTCATGGACTACACACATCGAAAATGTAATAAACAGAATAGCACCAGTCCTGGGTGCAATTAAAAGATGCAACCACATGTTAACCCATAAGACTAAACATTTATTATACAACATTTTTATAGAACCCCACTTGAGATACTTGATAGTGTGTTATGGAAATGCAAGTGGCTATCTGTTGCAAAAATTACAGAGACTACAGAATAAAGCTATAAAAACCATATTTTCGATGAACTATTATACAGCTAGTGAAATCATATATAAACAATACCCATTTTTGAAAATTGAAGCTTTAAGAACTCTTGCGCCAGGCTAAACTTATCTATAAAATAAAAAATAAGCTCATAAAAACTATTGTGGAATTACAACTAAACGAAGATATTCATAATTACAACATAAGAACGAAAAATAACTTGAGAGCTAAATATTCCAGAACAAAAAAAGCACAGGATTCTCCCATATCAAAAAGTACTCAAACCTACAACAAGTTGCCCGAAACTATATTCGATGGGGATGAAAAAGTTGTGAGTCATAACCGCAAAACTTATTTAAAAAGCAGAGACTGGATAGTGAATAATATATTAGTTAAATCTTTATTATATAAATTTTTATAATTTTGTTATCTGCTCATAGAAATTTAAACTAAGGCCTCGGTGCCAGTTTCTTTATTGTTACTGATTAGAGGTCTGAAATAAAACATTATTAAAAAAAAAAAAAAAACTAAAAAAGCTTGCAAAAAACGCCTATATGGTAAATTTGATAAGATTTGTTCAATAAATAATACCCATACCACGTTATCCTTAAAAAAAAGTTGTTGTCCTAAAATCAAAAGACAGATATTTCTTGTTCCCTAGACTTTTTTTCATGAGTGTATTAACAAAGTAATGGGTGGTTTTGTGGGGCAATGTCAGATTACTCCCCCATCTTAATGTAAAATGACTAGTAGTTGATTTTTATTAAAATCGAAATATTCTTCTCCAGGTGCAACGAACGTTGGATCAATCAAAGTATTTTTTGACAAAACACTCCATACCAACCAGAAAAAGAAAACTCACAAATTCAAAGAAGTCTGTCTAGGAAGTACAGTAAAACTCGACAAAGGCGACTTATTAGGAGAATTCAGGATGGGCTCGACTATAGTAGTCATTTTTGAGGCACCAATCCACTTTAAGTTCAGTATTGGTCAAGGACAAAAGGTGCGCATGGGTCAGTCTCTGGGTACCGTCCAGTCGGAAAACAGGGTTATAGACATAAGGCAAGCTAGAAATGTGAGAGCTGGACGCTAATTTTTTATTGATTAGTTTTAAGAATGTATTATTAATGTAAATTGTGATATTTTATTAAATGGAATTTTTAATAAAACATTTATGATATTGTTTGTGGTAATCCTGGGAATGTATAGCTTCAACGAGCATGTTTTGGAAAAAATGTCATCAGGCTAAAGGAACAAAAGAGTATGTAAAAAAGTTCTACCAGCTGAACGAGTAACTAGGTCTTGAAGTGAACTTTTAAACATGTTCCAAAGTTTAAACTAATAATATTAAATTTCTTAATTATTTTTATTTGAAGAATTGCATTTGAAAGCTTGAATAAGTCTGAGTAATTTCTATTAGCCAGGCTGATAGAACTAACTATAAGTAAATTCTATACAGAAATCGGAATTATCCAGAAATGTGAACTTCTTCGTCGGTTCTTCTGCTGTTGGGAAATGAGAAGAGAACTGAACTTGAGCGAGGCAACAAATATACCGAAATACCCCTTTTTTTAAAGCGCATACGGAATCTCTCAGTAAAACGTTGAAAAAATCACAAAATAAAGTAATTTTTTTGACAGTAATAGATAGTCAGAGTTTGTAGTAAGTTATGTGGGAGCAATTAGGTTTAATTTCCAACCAGTGTATATCTAATTGTTTTAGCTCACAGTATAATTTCTAACGTACAGAGAGGAAAATCGACAGTGAAAATTTCACTAGCTCATCAATTTAGTCTCTGACTTGTTTTTTACAAAAACGAAAAACCATTGTACAGTTTTCAGGATTATATTTTTTTAGGAGTAGGTCAATATTGTTATGATCAAGGTGGTGTCCAGGAGTAGACTTGTCCATATAGGAACTAAGAAGTGGCGGTTGTAGCAGTTCTATGAAATGATACACAAGAACAAGCCAACCCCATTAGAGGGAGGAAATGGCTCTCATTTGACATAAAGTAGAAGTATTAAATGTTTGCTACAGTATGAATGCTGAAGCCTCATTTGCCGTCAAAACTCCTTTCGCTCGTAGTCTATATTTGTCTCTTCTATTATGGACTTAATTTCAGACTCGAAATACCACCTTGTAAATTTGTCACCCTGTTTACTACTGATTTTCTAACAGTTAATTTTTGAGGGTTTAGCTTTTTTCTAAAGGACCCTGCAATATTTAAATGGAAATTGGTTACCCGTGATATTTGGATGAAATTTGAATATGTTATTGGAGATGCCGTAAGCAACATTTTTTACCATGGGCACAACCCTGTATACAGGGTAAGTAAAAAGTATTGCAACACTTAAATATCTTCAAAACTGCCTAGGCCACGTTCACACAATTCGGAATCTGACGGTTTTTACGCATGCGAAATTCAACAGTGCTATTGACAATGTTGCCAGATTTCCTAGTTTTGCGCTACACGTAGTATTTTTGTTATCTTAAATAGAATGCTCCATTTATTTTTATTGCAATGAATTGGGCGTACCAAATTTGATAAGACTACAAGTTTTCAAAATTCTATCTCTACTTGTTGTTGAAATATGACAACACCGTATTTTCGGTGAAAAGTATCGCAGTGCTTGAATATCTTCAAAGGCTCAAACACGTTGACGAAATTTGGTATCTGGGGGTTTTTGGGCAAGCGAAATTCAACCGTGATATCGGCATTGTTGCCAGATTTCCCAGTTTCGCGCTACACGTAGTCTTACTTGTGGCTTATCGTTTTTTTTTTTTTTAAATACATGTGACTTGATCATAAGGTATTCATATTTCCGGGCCTTTCCGATAAGTTTTGGGCTCCTCCTGAAATAGGTAGGTAACTATCCCAGAATGATTCTCACTATAGTAGTAGGTATCTAACAGTATAAGAAGCATATTGAAAATTTGGGATCTCATTAAAATTTGGACCAATTCATTGCAATAAAAATAAATGGGGCATTTTATTTAAGATAACAAAAAGGCTACGTGTAGCGCGAATCTGAGAAGCTTGGCAACAATGCCGATATCACAGCTGAATTTCGCTTATCCCTAAATTCCTAGATACCGAATTTAGTGGACGAGCTTGCAAGTTTTAAAGATATTCAAGCGGTGCGATACCGTTCACTGAAAATGCGGTGTGTGGAAATTTGGAATCTTATTAAATTTGGTACGTCCAATTTATTGCAATAAAAATAAATAGGGAATTCTATTCAAAATAGCAAAAAGACTACGTTTAGCGCAAAACTGGGAGTCTGGCAACAATGCCGATATCACGGTTTAATTTCGCTTGCCCAAAAACCACCAGATACCAAATTTCGTGAACGTGCTTAAGCGGCGTTTGAAGATATTCAAGCGTTGCTATACTTTTCACAGAAAATACGGTATTGTCAATAGAATTCTATCGCTACTAGTTGCTGAAATATGACAAGTTGTCATATTTCAGCAACTAGTAGCGATAGAATTTTGAAAGTTTGGAATCTTATCAAGTTTGGCACGCCCAATTCATTGCAATAAAAATAAATGGGGCATTCTATTTAAGATAACAAAAAGACTACGTGTAGCGCAAAACTGGGAAATCTGGCAACATTGCCAATAGCACTGTTGAATTCCGCATGTCCAAAAAACTGTCAGATTCCGAATTGTGTCAACGCGGCTTAAGCAGTTTTGAAAATATTTAAGTGTTGCAGTACTTTTTACTATGTATATGACAGGTAAGGCGTGGTTAGCTGTCAACTATTGGAATCTTATATCCAAAAGCAGAGTAACTATGGCAGATTTTGATGAACAAAAAATCTATTTCTACTAAGTCGACCAATTTAAGTCGGAAAATGTCAATTATTTTAACACCTGTCAAAACCCTGCCAAACGGCAGCACTCATCTTTTCCAGTTTTCAATATTTCATGTTGTCATTTGACATTTTTAACTTATATGTAAATTCTAAATTCAAAAATTGAAAAAAAAAATGACAGAACTGTCAAAACCTGTCATTTGTTTTAGTACAAAAAAATACTCTAATCTGGTCCTTTCTCGGTTTGAGGTAGTTTATTGGTGATAAAACATTGAACACAGTTCATGCACGTCACATTTTGACAGCTGTCATTCTTTTTTTTTTCAATTTTTGAATTTACATATAAGTTAAAAATGTCAAATGACAACATAAAATATGGAATTTTAATTAGGTAGATGGAGACTCTGTCTTCATCTCATTTGTATAAAATATTGAAAACTGGAAAAGATGAGTGCTGCCGTTTGGCAGGGTTTTCACAGGTGTTAAAATGGTTGACATTTTTCGACTTAACTTGGTCGACTTAGTAGAAATAGATTTTTTGTTTACCTATTAAAATCTGCCATAGGTACTCTGCTTTTGGATATCAGATTCCAATATTTGACAGCTAACCACGCCGCACCTGTCATATATACAGGGTTGTGTATGTTGCTTACGGCATCCCCAATAACATATTTAAATTTCATCCAAATATCACGGGTAACCAATTTCAATTTAAATATTGCGGGGACCTTTGGCGTAAAATCTTTTGCATCAACCGGCAGCTAGACCTAGACCATCGTTTTTTGGAAAGAAAATCTCTGATTGGACTAAGATAATGGATATTACAACAAACTCAATGCAAAACAGATTAGGATATAAGGCAAAGAACAAAAAACAAAAATGGACGACGGATGAGATTTTGTTGTTAATAGATGAACGCCGCAAGCACAAGAACAAAACAGACAGCAACATGTACAAGGAAATTCAAAGACTCATTAGATCAAAGATTAGAATAACAAAGAACGAATGGCTTAAACGTGAATGCTCTGAGATAGAGCAGCTGCAAAATCAACACGATGTCTTTAACCTCCACAAGAAACTGAAGGAGACTGCTGGCATATATAAAAAAATGAGAGCAACTATAACAGTAAAACGTAATAAGTATTTTGGGCGTTAAGTGTGGTTAACCACCCTCGAATATTCGTCGGTCTTTAAACACTCTCGGGCGGTAAATGACACTTACCGCCCTTAATACAGTGGCGGCTCGTGGTGTCCAAGTAAGGGTGGGCGACAAAAATAAAAAACAGCCGTGAGCATTTTTTTTTTAGATTTTCGAGGTCGCGGTGGCGGTGCCCACCTTGCCCATATGGGCGAACCGCCACTGCCTTAATACTTAAATAAGTATTATTGTACGTTGTATTATCTTTGCTTCTGTCTTTTTGAACAGTACCATAGCAGAGTATTTGCTATTAGTGGATTTGTATTACTGACTTGTGTGAGTACACTGTACTTCAATTTCGATAAACAGCGACAACGTGGCTACTGGAGCTCTGTGACACCCCCACCAGTGGCACCAATGAAATTTCGAAAAATGAATATGGTTGATTTGCCCATTATATGCCTATGTAAGCCCACCCCATAACTTTTTTTGCTCAGCCCCCAAAAAAAAATTATTGGAAAACATAAAATTCTGACAATATTTTTTTTTTTCAGCACTACCACATTTGAAAATCACCAATACTAAATTTCTGATCCTATGCCTATCAGTTGCCCATATTTGCCCACCATGAATATTATTTGCCCTTGAAATATCCGCAATATTTTGGTGCAAATTATATTTTTCGTTCAGTAAATCTTGTTTTTAATAGCTATTTATATAACATGATTTTATGTACGATTACGACGGGTTTTTGTTAAAAACTAAAAAAAAGGTAATGAAAAAAGTAAAATTCGCGTAGGTATACCGGTTTCACCTTGTCAGGTTGTCAGGGCCTGTGTCACCTTGGCAGGTTGTCAGGACCTGTTTCACCTTGTCAGGTAGTCCGGGTAGGCAAAAGTTGCACTTTATTTTACTAGTGAAATAAAGTAGCTTTTGCCATGTTCATATACTTTATGTTCTATTGTATTGGATGTGAAATATTTATGACTGGGAAAATAAGTGTACTTGTATTTTTCGTTGATCTAGTGAACCCATTTGAAAATTTTTGCGAAACTCAAATATTCTTGTTTTGTATCACCAAGAGAACAAACTATTTAATATACACCAACTGGGAAAATAAGTGCTAAAAAATTTCACTGCCTCCCGGACTATAAGAAGTTACAACAAAAAATACTAGACTCTAAATTGTTGCGGCAAAAGCCCGAAAACAAAAGAATCTTGATTCTAATTGCTATAGTAACGACTAAAAATAAAAAAATGAACAGGAGAGCTCCGCGCGGCTTATTTATA